GGTTAAGAAACTGGGGAATTCTAGAAAGATCGTAGGTAGCATGGGGATTTGAGGATACTACCCTGACGAAGAAATTCTGGGGGAGGGTCGTCGTAGTTCGTATTTTGCTAAAACTTTCTTCAGGGACTCGAAGTGCACTACTAACCATCCTTTGAGGGCCCTGGAGCACCATCGACCACAATCGGCACCCATGGACTCTATCCGCCTGGTCCGTGCTACCGTAGGCGGTCAGATTGCCTCCCAGCTATCGGGAACAGGGCACGTGCTGCCGTTGGAGGAAATTTCTGCAAAATGCCCCCTCTCCCGAAATCTCCACCTCTGCTACGACCAATTTCCTCACCCCTATGCCACTTACCACCTTCTCAAATTTTCTCCTCTTCCTAACACTTTTCCAGTCTTCAGGAATTCGTCCGCTATCTCCACTTTCTTACTTATCTCCCCCTCCCCGAATGTTTTCCGGAAATAAGTCAGGTTTTTCCACTTTCTCACTTTTTTTCCCACAAAAATGCCGTCAAGAGGGTGTAGGAGAGGGGGGGGGGAGTATAGCGGGTGAAGCAGGAAAAACCGAGAAAAAGTCAGCATTCGAACGCATATTTCTCTGGGGCAAATACGACTCCTTTTTGTTCCAATGGCCGAGTAGGACCCTCTTCCTTCGGGAATTCCCAGCGTACGACGTGCCCTGGGCAGGGGTGCTCGACTCTTCCTATGCCGCCTCTGGAACTGTATCCCGGCTGCCGTTGAGATTGCTGTAACACTCCCTTCCGCTCTTTAGTAGGCCCCATTCGAAAAAAATCGTATATCAAAGTGATGGTTAGGAAGCGCGTTTTCAAGTCTAGAAAAATCACACCACAAAAGGTCTAGGAACCTAAAATTTCACAGCGGGTAACAGAAATTTCTACAGCGCAGGAACTGTACCGCTGGTACACTTGAGTTTCCAGTGAGAATCGGTCGAGGTCTCAATCAATAGAGAGTTGTTAGTTCTTTCCGGACGGCCGACTACACTCGACCTCACATTTCTGCATCAATGCACCTCTATCTGTTTCATGGATCTACGTTTTTCCTAGATGGCCTTGTACAGCCGAAACTACTCTTAAAATCATCCGTACAGCTGGTCGAACATCGACGACTACCAAGATTTCATGGTGCTGTGCAAATCGAATTAGTTGTTCCGGTTCTGTGCTGGCGGAAGGGTTCTCCTATCAGCACTTCCCTCCCCATTCGGTCTACGCTGGCTTTTCGATGTAGAGACCTTGGCCTTCTAGTTGGATATTACCGAAAGGGCCCTCTGTGATAAGGATAGGGTCCTGGGGACAGTTGTTGGATTTCATGACTCTATTTTTTCTCACAATACATCATAATTCAAGACTTTTAAATGAAGGGCTGGTATTCAAGAACGACCTATAGTACGGGATGTCGCAAGAAATACTGATAACGAGCGTTTGTTCGGGTTTTCAGGGCTGATAACAAACTAACTGGCACTTTTTATACTGTTTAAAATTAGCATTCCTATCAATGGGGCTGACCAGTTAGTGTCGCAAATTTGTGGAATTCTACACATCTGATGAAGTTAAGTTACCATGTGTGTAAGTAAACATTTGAAATCGTTTAAAATTTCCTACATATCCGTTTTTCAAACATTTTGTCTTTCTCTCACTCCTATTCCTTCTAGTGGTTTCAACTTCAATAACCTTCCCTTCAAGATGCTCGGAGCCTGCGTTTTGCTTGCGGACGCGCATTTTGAATTCTGAAACCTGTCGATCAGTTGCATATTGTAACAGGGTTTATAACTACATTCAGGCTAAGCGAGGCCGCCGAGCTCCAAAAACATATGAATGAAAATCTTTTAAAAACAGCCTTAGAAATATTAAGAGACTGTTTCACCCGCCACGACTTTTCTGGGATGCGCCACGCATCAGACTCATGTACAGAATCATAATGAAATTCTGAGGACAATTTGGTACAATGTCTTGCATTTGAATGCAGTCCGGCCCACGTAGTGCTTTGCAGAACCGAACAGTATTCAAGTGTTATCGTCCCATATGAGTCTGGTACAGGTTAGGCGACCCTGGATAGCTTGTTTGACGTGGGCTAGAGTTTGGACAGGGACCGCGTCCCTATGATGTCACCCTGTAGCGAGAGCTTAGTATGACTTCTTGCAGTTACACCAGCTCCATTACAATTTTTGTAATATCCATTAATATGTTAAGAGCTCCTCTTTTAATTATTAGACGCTACAGCTAGAGGAGCACATCGTTCTTGTATCGTAACCTTAGCAGGGCCGTCGTACGTAGTGCCTTTGCAATATTTGATCACTGGATTTAGCCTGGGGTCACATTTGGTATTGTTCTTCTGACTGTTGATTCTACTCGTTGTAAACGTACTTTAACTCCGCTGCCAGTCGATCGGCGATATCTGGTTCCCCCTTTTCAACCCGCTCTGGTAAATTTTTGGGATATTTCGGTAAGATGATTGGTCGATTGGTTGTGGACTGGAGCAAAGTTCCGTTGACAAAAGTAGGGGGAGAGGACTACTTAGCGGAAATTCCTGTAACACCACGAGGTGCCCTAATAGTGGGACCGACACTCATCTAGGTGTATCGAAATTGCCATCCTTAAAGGTTTATCAAGTTAAAATGGGCGGTGCTTTGAGGTCAACACAGTCGTTTTGAGCATCAGGTGGTCCTCTCAACTATTGCTAGGCCGCGAAACCTTCTATCCCTTCCGCGAACCTCAAATCGAAGCCAAGTGCAGCGTGAACCCTGGAGGATCTCCTCAGAAGTGACTGCTTAATGATGCAGTCAACCTTGGTCGTAGAGGCGGAGTCAGGCCTACTATACCACCCTTCTACACTGGCGCGCTCCTGCCCTTTAACCACGAACAAGTTTTTTAGGCTTTCGAACAACACTTGTAATCTTTCCGCGAAGGCTCACTTTACACTTCCTGCTTCCATTTTGAAAATGTTCTTCTTTGCAGTGAACTGTAGAAAGATACGAGAGGAAAAATGGTGAGAAAGAAAATTTTACAAGATGTTGAAATTGTGCTCAATCCAGACAACAAATACTGGATGGAACTTGTCAGTTGGGTGGGTCTATTGATAGTGAATTTGAATGTGAAGAGCGTATGCTCTTGCT